GCCTGGCCCCCAGCCCCTCCCAGCAGCCTGGGCCCAGTGCCAGGTGCTGGGGCCGGGACTGGCCTCCAGGTCGTCACTGGGCGGGGCCCCCTCAGGCCCGTAGCCAGTCCGTGAAGGTGGGGGAGCTAGGCGCCCACTGTGTGTGCGTCCTCGGTGGCCGTTTCTTACCGTGACTCTCAAAGGTCGAACTTGCCGCCTTTATTTCAGGGAGGGTCCCCAGGCTGGGCTTAGCGAATCCCCCTAAACCAGGAGGTGCTGGCCTGGGACCCGAAACCGCAGCTCCCCGCCCCGGAGGCCGATGAGAAGGGAGCTGCGGGCCGAGGTCCCGTGGAGAGCGTGCGGCCCCCGCAGGACAGGACCGAGGGACAGGCTCCCAGGACAGACACGTGCTGCTCCGCTCCCCCGGGACCCCCTAGGGCAGCGGTTCTCAACCTGGGGGTCGCGACCCCTTGGGGGCCGAACGACCCTTTCACAGGGGTCGCCTAAGACCATAGGAAAACACATGTATAATTACATATTGTTTTTGTGATTCATCACTGTGCTTTAATTTTTGTAACCAAAATGCATCCTGCATATCAGATATTTACACGACGATTCATAACAGTAGCAACATGACAGTGATGAAGTAGCAACGAAAATAATGTTACGGTTGGGGGTCCCCACAGCATGAGGAACTGTATGAAAGGGTCTCGGCATCAGGAAGGTTGAGAACCGCTGTCTTAGAGGAGCCCTGACAGTTAGGGCGAGGGAGCGAGAGGAAGCGGACAGGCCCAGGCTTGGGAAAAGCAGGCGGGAGGAGTGGCTGGTTCCCCAGGCCCCCCCAGGTGTGTGTGTGGGGGGGACACAGCCCTGAGTGTCTGTGAGGCCCCTGGGGCTCAGCGGACGAGAAGGAGGACCGCAGGCCGAGCGCTGGGGGTGCAGGGACAAGGAGAAGCCGGCAGGGGCCTGCACCCCCATCCAGATCTGGGGGAGCCAGGCCCTGCACGAGCCCTGGTGCAGCCTCCGCCAGCCGGCGAGGGGCCTGGAGACGCAGGCCTGACGCCCAGACACACGCTGTCACTCATTCTCTGTGGAGCCAGGCTGAGCGGGAGGGGCCTGAGCTATCCCAGCTCCCTCAGGGAACCCCAAGCTCAGGTCCCGATCCCCCCAACCCCCACAGTAGCTACAGTGGCTCCAGGGCCCGGGGGGGTGCAGGGCAAGGAGACCATGCTCTAACCACTGAGCCACACCGGCTAGCGCACTCTGTCTGTCTGCTTCGTCCCCAGGTTCGCTGACAATGGCATCGGCCTGACCCTGGCCAGGTAAGCAAGCACCTGTCCCCGGGCGCCGGGCCCCCTGGGAAGCTGCCCGCGGCCTCCTCACCCCGACACCCTCTCCCCCCCGCACCCCTGCAGCGGCGGGACCTTCCCCTACGACGACGGCTCCAAGCAGGAGATCAAGAACAGCCTGTTTGTGGGCGAGAGCGGCAACGTGGGGACCAGGATGATGGACAGCAGGATCTGGGGCCCCGGCGGCCTGGACCCCAGCGGGAGGACCCTGCCGATCG